TGCCTCCTCTCAATTCTGGGACCAGCCTTGCCGCCTGTTTCAATGCCAGAGTTGCATACTCAAGAGTTGGTATTACATACGTATAAAGTTTCATATATTTCTAGCATAAGGTTTATTTTTCTAGGGTCATCTGCGTGTGTGTAATCACCTAGTTGTGCTTGCGGGGGTTGAGCTCTGGCTCTTTGGTCCCGCCTCTCAACTGTCAATCAGCTGGTGTACAGGTTCCTGAGCCTACTGGGCTCTATCATATCTACATTTGAAACTGTGTATGGAGTCAGCCTCCACCACATCACTGCCTAATGCATTCTACCTGTTAATTACTCTGACACTGAAAAAGTTTTTTCTAATGTCTCTGTGGCTCATGTGGGTACTCATTCTTCACCTGTGTCTCCTGGTTTGAGTACCACCCGTGCTAAATGGTTTATCTTTATCTACCCTGTCAATTCCTCTATGAATTTTGTAGGTAGTGATCATGTCTCTACGAGCTCTCCTGTCTTCCAGCGACGTGAGGTGCATTTCACGCAGCCTTTCCTCGTAACTCATGCCTCTTAGTTCTGGGACTAGTCTAGTGGCATACCTCTGTTCTTTTTCCAGCTTCGTCTTGTGCTTGACAAGGTACGGGATCCATGCTGGGGCCGCATACTCCAGGATTGGTCTTACATATATGGTATACAAGATCCTGAATGATTCCTTACACAGGTTCCTGAAGGCTGTTCTGATGTTAGCCAGTCTAGCCTTGTGTACTCACCTAGTTGTGCTTGCGGTGGATGAGCTCTGGCTCTTTGATGTGTGTGTGCTTTCGCGCATATGTATGTATGTATGTATGTATGTATGTATGTATGTATGTATGTATGTATGTATGTATGTATGTGTGTGTGTGTGTGTGCATATGCCTTGTTTTGAACCTGAACTAGTCAAACGCGTTCCCTAAATCATTGTCTTAAGCATCTCTCACAAGCTTTGAGAACTATTGCAATAATTCTCAACATGAAATCCAACATGTCTCCAGACAAAACACACACACACACACACACACACACACACACACACACACACACACACACACACACACACACACACACACACACACACACACACACACACACACACACACACGATTGGTTAACTACACGACTCTCTCATCCATCCCGCACACTCCAGGAAACAATAAAATCAGTGAAAAAAATAAAAAAACATATTAAAAGAGGAATTCAGCAAAGAGGTGTTACTAAGATTATATTTAAGATCACGTCTGAAGTCAAGGGTTCGAATCCTATTATTGCTGTTGATATGTTTTTTGTCTTTTATAGTAGTTATCGTTAAATAATTTAGGTTATTTTGATTTTTATTAACGTCAAATTTTATTAACAAATTATTAACGTCATTATAATTATAAGTTTTATATTATATAATTATTATTATATTGTATATTTAATATTGTATAATAATTTATTATACCATAATTCTTGTTACTTCTATTTAATATAATTATTATTGGTCAATTTATCTATAATTAGTTTATTTTATTACTAATTTTTGTTTGAGATATATACAAGAGTTGTTACATTCTTGTACATATTTTATTTTAGTGAACTATATATGTAATTGTAATTAGCAATAATAATCCATTCACCTGGGCTGTAGGAGGCTTGAACAGTGAACACCTTGTGTGTGTGTGTGTGTGTGTGTGTGTGTGTGTGAAGCTCACTCGACTAAGCTATTGAGTGACCTTAATAAGGAAAGCCTCCAGAAGCAGCATTCTGTTGCCTTTATTAACAGCAAGTGAGAGGGGAAGAACAGAGGAAGAACATAGAGAAAAGTTCTTCTAATGATGTTCATTTAAAGTTACTGATAACGTGATCGAACCTTACTAATTATTTTATTATTATTATTATTAAAAAAAATTATTTGCTTGCTAGAACTGTATAATTTTTTAAATTGTATAATTTTTATTCAGAATTGTTCATTGGTTTATTTATTGTTTGCGTATTTAATTGTTGTATTTATCAATGTATTTTCGCTTTATTTGTTGTATACGTTTGTAATTAATAGAAGTAAAGCTATCATATTAATATAATAATGATGATAACAATGAAAATAAATTATTCAAATATTACTAAAATAATAATTGCAAAATTGATGATAATAATTGACCATTAAAATTATTACTATGACAATAAAATATTTTTAATTATAAATAATATAAAAATATAAAAACAGGAAAATAATAGTAGTAAATATATATGCAATTTATAATAATGTAAAAGACTTGATAACGCGCTATTTTATTATCATTATTATTGAAAATAAAATTATAAATAGAGAAGCTATAATTCTTGCTAATTGAAATAATTGCTCCTACTTGAAATAGTAAAGATTATTATAATTCATTGATCATAGTGAATTTAAATGTTGGGATTACTTTAATTAATAAATTTTAGTAAAGCAGAATAATAATGCGATAGGGGCTATAATTATTAAATATAATAATAATTTATTTTATAAATGGGGACAATTTTTTTTTTTTTTGAGATATATACAAGAATTGTTACATTCTTGTACAATAATAATTCTAATAATTTTTTTTTCAGTTTAATCAGTAATATTAGGCAAAACTTTTATTGACAAATGTTTAAAAAAAATTATTATTAATTCTGCAGCATTGGTCTTACTTTTTATTAATAAAAGTAACTTTGTTTTCTCTATATTTGTATTGAAGCTAATTAAAAAATTATAATCCTATTGATTTAAGTTAACATAATCTAAATTATATTTCGAATTACAGTTTTTTTAATTTAAATTTTGCCAAAATTATTTAAAAAATGTATTAATTATTTAAAAAAGAAAGATGGAAGAGGTGTTGGGTCGTAAATCTGAAGCGAGACGCGGGAATTCCGCCTTTGTAAACTGTAAACTGTGGGGTCTACACAATGCATCGATTACTCATAGTATCGACACAATATATTAAGTGAACACAGGAGTTTACTTCAGCGGCATGAGGTATATCGGAGTGGCACTGGTATACCTTGGGAGGGCCAGCGAGTATACTAGCCCGGAGGATATGATATGTAAACTAAGGGGGGGGGGTTCCGGGCAGGGAAGGAATTACCAGGGGGAAAGCACCACCAAGGCATTATGGCTATTTAGCATTGGGAAGGGGTCAGGATAAGGATTTGGGATGGGACGAGGGGAAAGGAATGGTGCCCAACCACTTGGACGGTCGGGGATTGAACGCCGACCTGCATGAAGCGAGACCGTTGCCCTACCGTGAGTGAGGGGGGGGGGGGATTTAATTAGAGATGTACATATTAATGTGAGTGATTTTTACATGTCTCACAAATCACAATATATATCTGTAATTTTTTTTTTTTTTTTTTTGGGGGGGGGAAGTGATTTTTCTTGTAAACAAAAAATTATTTATGCAGATTTGGTATATATATATATGTTGTCCTTAATAGGCTAAGTTGCCTAACAAGCCCAATTTTTCTAAAATATAGTTTTTCAATTTTTTTATTGAATGATTAAAGCTTTCCATAACGTACATAAATAAACAAAAATTTATAATTTGAGTCAAAACAGAAATTTGGCCATGCCCTAATCTATCCTATCAGAACTGAGTCAGTAATTAATGTTCTTGATATAATATATAACTATTGTTAAAAATAAAATAATCTGGGATGCAATAGTTGAAAATAACGAATTTTTTTCAGCCTATTGGGCAATTCGGGCTTTGCTTATTAGACCAAGTAGGCAGTTCTAGCTAATATATATATATATATATACATTATATATATATATATATATATATACATTATATATATATATATATATATATATATATATATATATATATATATATATATATATATATATATATATATATATATATATATAGATATATATATAATATGAGTGACAGGCTTATACACCCCCCTCTACCATTACACCCGCACACACACGCGCACACACACACACACACACACACACACACACACACACACACACACACACACACACACACACACACACACACACACACACACACACACACACACGAAAATTTCCGTTTTATAGCTGTGAATTTTATCCATTTCTCCTAGATTCTATAGAGTATTTTGTGTATTTTCCCCACGTATAATTTAATTCAACATCAATACTAACAATTCTCCTATAATTTTGCACGTGGTAATCATGTCTCCCATGACCCAAATTCAACATCAGTGTATTATACACGTGATGGACCAGTTCTGAACCAGTTATACCGGTGAAAGAATTTCTAAATATTTTATAAAAGCATTAATCTTAATAGTTTCTTTAAGACAAAGACATTAAATATTTTTCTTAAGGTCATGATGCCTTATACTGGATTCTGAAGAAAAAATGCGGCTTCCGGTTTGTTTCTTAAGACAAAGAGTGTTACAGGTAATCTTGGAATTACTTTAAGACCTCTCCACGGTATAGAATTACCTTGTTCAGGTAATCTACATATGCTTTGAAGTCTTAATAAAATTATTTGTTTATCTTTGAGACTTGACATGATGCTCTTGGTCTTGGGATGCATCTCTTCTGCTTAGATATGATGCTGTCAAGAGGTTGACATGATGCTGTCATGTCAACTTAATGCTGTCAAACAGCTTAAACTGTTACACCGACGCTGTGTTGATTCGCTGACATGTTAACGACAGGGTTTAACAGTTGTGTGTTTGCCTCACTGGAGGGGGTAAACAGGGGCCCCGTTTTCTTAACTGTTTTCTTAACAACAGAGACACGATGATTAACGTCTAATCACCTTTCCGCTGCAGTGCAATTTCAACAGGAAATCTGAAGTTTAGTCGACAGCATAAGCTTGTGTGGTGTAGGCTACAATATCAACAACACTATTGGGCAAGATCAACGACACTACTGGCAAGATCATTGCAAGATCAACGACACTACTGGCAAGATCATTGCAAGATCAACACCACTACAACAAAAGGTCTTATTGTGGGTAGGTCACTCACCAGTTTTCTCATCCTTATTGAGGTTGTCGAGTGTCTTATTGGTCATCTTAAAGAGCGCATCAAGAGCACTTCCTTTGTCGTTACTGGAGCTTTTCTTGTCGTTCTGGCTCGACGACTTGGCAGGGGGGTCGGCGACCCCTTCCTCCCGCGTGTCCCAAGGGCGTACAATCTTGACAGGAACCGACGACTTCCGTCTTGACGGCTTGTAGGATAGGATGTCGAGGATAGAGAAGGATCTTAATCCTGCTGCTTGTTTCTGGTCCATTGCTATGTCTCCGCCTCGGCCCATGAGTCCTTCGGGTTCCTGCGGCTCCTGCGGCTGCGGCTCGGGTGTAGGAGGCTTGGGTTCCTCCTCTTCTTCCTCCTCCTCCTCCTGCGGGGAGAGGAGCTGCGGCTGCGGCTGCGGCAGCGGCGGCGACGTGCTTGACATGGCTAGTCTTTTGAGTGGTCTGAAATATTCGTCGTCGGATAGGTAGGTGAATGACTCGGTGTGTAGGGATCCTGAGGATAGCGTCGGGGACGGCGCCCCCCGCGAGGTGGATGGGGACTGGGGCTCTGTGTCGTCCTCATCGTCATCGTCGTCCGTGTGGGTCATGTCCATAGGAGAGGGACGATCATCTTGCCGCGCTTCGCACCCGACACTAATTTCACTCTCACAAGGACTTGTCGGCCGCAGCTCACGGGGAGAGGCGGGTGTGTCACTATCCTCCATCCTAGCCACGCACTCTACCCGTATTTCCATCCCTCAGCGCTCTCCTAGGACCCCACAGCGTCCTCCTAGGACCCCCACAGCGCGCTCCTAGGACCCACAGCGAGCGGATAGTCCCAAACTTCGCCACAAAATCAGAGCGCCAGCAACTGCCCTCCTCTCTACTCGCTGGTCACCGACAGACTGATGCTGGTCGAGGCATGAGGCGGAGAGTAATCACTCGGGGGTTCGAACGCGGGCGATGAAGATGTGCCAACTGGTCGACTGGTTAATGACAGAGGAGCGCCTTCACAAGGCTAATGGCTGCCTTTTGATCTAAGCCGCCAGCCGTTCTCTACACGCCCCGCCCCGCCGGCCACACGCGGCGCCCGCCGCGCGTGATTGGGCGGAACCCTTACAAGCCCCGCCCTCGCTATCTCCCTATTGGCTACAGGCTTTCTCGGGGTAGGACCCAAGCGCGACGCCGGTCTGTGATTGGTTAGGGGATTATCAATTGGCCAATGGGGAGGAGAGACCGGCATATCAAAGGGGCCTGTGAATAGCTTAATCAGAAACTGAAGTGACGTTGTTAATGGAGATATTCTAACAGGGCGGGCCACTCCGGTGTCAAATTAGGGTGGGTGGTGGCCCGGGTGGTCCGCCGGGGCGGCCCGGGGGCGTGGGGCGGCGGTAACGGCTCTTGAGTGATGGAGCCTGGCTCTTGCCTAAGGCGCCGCCCATATTATTATAGATAAAGAGCCCACACCTCCTGGCTCTGTTGTTCACGCCCCCTGGCTCTATTGTTAACACCTCCTGGCTCTATTGTTTACACCTCCTGGCTCTATTGTTAACACCTCCTGGCTTTATTGTTAACACCTCCTGGCTCTGGTGTTACCACCTCCTGGCTCTATTGTTAACACCTGGCTCTGTTGTTTACACCTCCTGGCTCTATTGTTAACACCTGGCTCTGTTGTTAACACCTCCTGGCTCTGTTGTTAACACCTCCTGGCTCTATTGTTAACACCTCCTGGCTCTATTGTTAACACCTCCTGGCTCTATTGTTAACACCTCCTGGCTCTGGTGTTAACACCTCTTGGCTCTATTGTTAACACCTGGCTCTGTTGTTTACACCTCCTGGCTCTATTGTTCACGCCCCCTGACTCTATTGTTTACACTCCACTCCTGGCTCTATTGTTTACACCCCCTGGCTCTGGTGTTAACACCTCCTGGCTCTATTGTTAACACCTCCTGGCTCTATTGTTAACACCTCCTGGCTCTATTGTTAACACCTCCTGGCTCTATTGTTTACACCTCCTGGCTCTGTTGTTCACACACTGTGGCTCTGTTGTTCACGCCCCCTGGCTCTATTGTTAACACCTCCTGGCTCTATTGTTAACACCTCCTGGCTTTATTGTTAACACCTCCTGGCTCTGTTGTTAACACCTGGCTCTGTTGTTCACACACCATGGCTCTGTTGTTCACGCCCCCTGGCTCTATTGTTAACACCTCCTGGCTCTATTGTTAACACCTCCTGGCTCTGTTGTTCACGCCCCCTGGCTCTATTGTTAACACCTGGCTCTATTGTTAACACCTCCTGGCTCTGTTGTTCACGCCCCCTGGCTCTATTGTTAACACCTCCTGGCTCTATTGTTAACACCTCCTGGCTCTATTGTTAACACCTGGCTCTATTGTTCACACCCCCTGGCTCTAGTGTTAACACCTCCTGGCTCTATTGTTAACACCTCCTGGCTCTATTGTTAACACCTCCTGGCTCTATTGTTAACACCTCCTGGCTCTATTGTTAACACCTCCTGGCTCTATTGTTAACACCTCCTGGCTCTATTGTTAACACCTCCTGGCTCTATTGTTAACACCTCCTGGCTCTATTGTTAACACCTCCTGGCTCTGTTGCTGCCTTCCACTATACTCTCTCTGCTTCTCAGTTTTCCGTTGAATCCTCTGTTGCTATTTCTGTTTCTGCCCGTCTGTTTCTTCTGTTGTCACTTCCCTCCGTTATTCTGTTGTCACTTCCCTCCGCTATTCTGTTGTCACTTCCCTCCGTTATTCTGTTGTCACTTCCCTCCGTTATTCTGTTGTCCCTTCCCTCCGTTATTCTGTTGGCACTTCCCTCCGTTATTCTGTTGTCACTTCCCTCCGTTATTCCGTTGTCACTTCCCTCCGTTATTCTGTTGGCACTTCCCTCCGTTATTCTGTTGTCCCTTCCCTCCGTTATTCTGTTGTCACTTCCCTCCGTTATTCTGTTGTCACTTCCCTCCGTTATTCTGTTGTCACTTCCCTCCGTTATTCTGTTGGCACTTCCCTCCGTTATTCTGTTGGCACTTCCCTCCGTTATTCTGTTGGCACTTCCCTCCGTTATTCTGTTGTCACTTCCCTCCGTTATTCTGTTGGCACTTCCCTCCGTTATTCTGTTGTCCCTTCCCTCCGTTATTCTGTTGTCACTTCCCTCCGTTATTCTGTTGGCACTTCCCTCCGTTATTCTGTTGGCACTTCCCTCCGTTATTATGTTGTCACTTCCCTCCGTTATTCTGTTGGCACTTCCCTCCGTTATTCTGTTGTCCCTTCCCTCCGTTATTCTGTTGTCACTTCCCTCCGTTATTCTGTTGGCACTTCCCTCCGTTATTCTGTTGTCACTTCCCTCCGTTATTCTGTTGGCACTTCCCTCCGTTATTCTGTTGTCACTTCCCTCCGTTATTCTATTGTCACTTCCCTCCGTTATTCTGTTGGCACTTCCCTCCGTTATTCTGTTGGCACTTCCCTCCGTTATTCTGTTGTCACTTCCCTCCGTTATTCTGTTGTCACTTCCCTCCGTTATTCTTTTGGCACTTCCCTCCGTTATTCTGTTGGCACTGCCCTCGCTGTACCAAGTGTGAGGGAAGTGCCACCCGCTACTGACGACATCTTGGAGAAAGTACGTAAGACATGCCACAGGAAAGTGATGGTGTGGAAAAAAAGAAAAGTAGTAGTAGCAGAAACGGTTGATTGACAGTTGAGAGGCGGGCCGAAAGAGCCAGAGCTCAACCCCCGCAAGCACAACTAGGTGAATACAGGAACTGAACTTGCAGAAAAAGGTTTAACAAGAAGGAATTGAAAGGGATCGTTAAGGCAGTTGAGGTTAATTGGTGTTATTAACTACGCGTCTGGATCCAATTCCCAAGACGGGTTCGAAATCATTCGTATGTAAAGGGGAAAAGGTGTGAATCAAGCACCAGTTAGCACCAGGGGAGCCGGTCGGCCGAGCGGACAGCAGACTGGACTTGTGATCCTGTGGTCCTGGGTTCGATCCCAGGGGCCGGCGAGAAACAATGGGCAGAGTTTCTTTCACCCTATGCCCCCTGTTACCTAGCAGTAAAATAGGTACCTGGGTGTTAGTCAGTTGTCACGGGCTGCTTCCTGGGGGTGGAGGCCTCGTCAAAGACCGGGCCGCGGGGACACTAAAGCCCCGAAATCATCTCAAGATAACCTCAAGATAGCTGCACAGGCTGGGTGTGCAACTCTCCCAGTGAGGGTTGTTTAAACATGTTGCACAGGACAATCTGTTCAATCATGTTGCAATCTGTTCAGAACAATCTGTTCAAAGTGCCTTGTGATGAACAAACAAGAATTAGAACCCCAAAATGCTGGTTGATTCAGCCCTTCTGAAATGAGGGGTACTTACAGCAACTATTGACTGTTTTGACTGGCATTTGACTGTTATTTAACTGTTTTTTTGACTGTTATTTGACTGTTATTTGACTGAAGTTTGACTGTAACACCCAAGAGATGGACGCCTTGTACAATTACATTATCCCAAATAACAAACTAAAAAAGTTGGAACGTAATTGCAGTACACCTATCCAATAGGGGCCTCGTAGCCTGGTGGATAGCGCGCAGGACTCGTAATTCTGTGGCGCGGGTTCGATTCCCGCACGAGGCAGAAACAAATGGGCAAAGTTTCTTTCACCCTGAATGCCCCTGTTACCTAGCAGTAAATAGGTACCTGGGTGTTAGTCAGCTGTCACGGGCTGCTTCCTGGGGGTGGAGGCCTGGTCGAGGACCGGGCCGCGGGGACACTAAAGCCCCGAAATCATCTCAAGATAACCTCAAGATAACCTAACTAGTCCACGCAATCCTAGGCCTGATAGACACAATAGCTTGCAGGATTGATAACTGCAGATAGCTGTGGATAGCTGAGAATTATGAGTATTAAAGTGATGATATAAGTTGTAAGAGGATTATTGGCACATCCTTAGAACTTTGTTCTCATAAATAAAGGTCAAATACTGGTTAATTCAACAGCCAAGTTGACTGTAAAAGATTCCAAAACATTCCAAACACCCTACACTCGACTCACAAGCTTGACGACGTTTCAACATTTCTCTGGTTCGAATCCCAACGCTGTAAATGCTTCACCCACGTGCAACAAATACGAATAATTGCCAAGAGAACCTAAACCCCATAACGTAACCTAATTTATGCCTATCTATGCATCAATTTCTACTATGTTAATTTATATGAGATAATACCGATTTTGAGTGCGTCTTTGGGGTCGGCCGCCGGATGGACGAGTACAGCCTCTTGAGGGGTTTTGAAATTAATAATTTTATTGAGGTATAAATATACACAAAGGTCATCTGCATCTACGTAATAAAGTCTACGGTATCAAAATAAAGCTTTTGCTTTACTTTCTATTAATTGATCACATTTTACTCCTCTTTAAAAATCCTCTTGTGTTGAACTTTGAACTTGTAACCTCAAGATAACCCACTTTATTTTATCGTCATTAGCGAATTTAGAATTAGAAATATTTTGGTTAACAATTTAGACAAATCGTTATAATTATACCTGAACAGGTGTTCACCAGTGTTAATGAAATGTTCTGGTGTTCACTTTGGTACCTCTGTTATTTATGTATTTGGTGAACAATAGAGGTCAGCAATAGAGGTCAAAGGTCATGACCTCGACGGCTTCTACCTGCCATTGTTCTCTGGCGTGACTCTATTGGTGCTGGCACTGTCATGTATGTGTCAATCATAGCCTGACAGCTGAGTGGACAGCGCTCGGGATTCGTAGTCCTGAGGTTCCGGGTTCTATCCCCGGTGGAGGCGGAAACAAATGAGCATAGTTTCTTTCACCCTGATGCCACCTGTTCACCTAGCAGTAAATAGGTACCTGGGAGTTAGAC